AGCGGTTGGGGCACTCTTTGGTCAGAGTTCAAGCCCGAGCTCTGAGCTGCCCAGGAGCTGATGCTTCCGGGAACGCCTCCCAGTCCCTGTTGAGTCCAGGGGGTTCCAGAGTCTCTGCTGAGGGCAACACCTCCCTCTGAGGGTCTTCTCCCCTCCAACTTCCTAAAAGTTCTGTGCAGAATGAAGTGCAAAGTCAGAAGGCACCGGGAACACCCTCCTCAGTGCTGACCCCCAGCTGGGGCTGAGCTCCTCCCTTGACACACCTCTCTCATCCCCCCCCTGCCCCCAAGGGCCGGGCTCCACCCAACCCTGGGGGCAGTCAGTTCCTTTTGTAGCCCCACCTCTCAGGGCATTCTCCTGGTTCAGGCTAGGGGGTGTTTGAGGGGTTTAGGAAGTACTGATAGGTTCTGAGACCAAGTCATGCAGGGGGACTGTGTCATGGCTCAGAGCATGCTCATTTGCTAGGTTTTTTCACAAGGCCTGTGCAATAGCCCAAACACTCGGGTTTCCCACTGGCTTTAACAGCCTGGCACTGGCCCTGAGTGCCTGGGCTTGGCTGACCAGGAGCTTCAGCCACAGGAGCCCTGTGCCCCAGGTCCAGGCAAGGTACTGCCCCAAGAACTGACTGTCACACTCTGGTGGCTCCAGAGCCTCTCTCTTCCAGCCGCCCCGTGCTACCAGAGTCTCAGGCTGGAGCTCTGCCCTGCTCTGGCCCTGGTGCTCTGCCCCATTTCCTGTGCCCTGGCCACAGGGCTCAGGCGCTCGCTACAGCTCAGTTTGCTGTCTTTCCTTCTGCATGGCCATTCTCTGACCTTGATGCATGTCTCTTGGGTCCACTTCCTCTTGTGAGGCTTGAGAAGCCTTGTCTTTTGTCATCACCTCTTCCTGGGGCTCTGTTTCAGGGTCTTCAGGAGAAGCTCGGGGCTTGCTCTCGGTACCTTTGGTCTCAGGGGAGGCCTCCTCTCCATCCCCTTTTCTTGTTCTTTGGGTGCTTCCCACTCCCTTCTGTCAGAGGCACTGGTTGTAACCCTGCTTGTACCTTTCGAATGAACTTCATCTGTAAAAGGAACTATAGGCTCAGTGAAAAAGGAAGGGCACAATAGAAATATGTTACTGGCTCTTTTACTATATGCAAATGCTGGGGTGTCCCTGTGGGAAGCTGGAGGTTTTATTTTTGAAACGTTTTTTTTAAAAAACATTTTATTTATTTATCTTTACAGGGGAAGGGAAGAGGAGAGGGAGAGAAATATCAATGTATGGTTGCCTCTCATGCATCCCCTGCTGGGAACTGGCCTGCAACCCAGGCATGTGCCCTGACTGGAAATCAAACTGCGATGCTCTGTTTCGCAGGCCTGTGCTCAGTCCACTGAGCTACACCAGCCAGGGGGAAGCCAGAGGTTTTATAGATCAGGCATACCAAGGGCCAGGCCACTGTGGGGCAAGTGCAGAGGGGATATGCAGTGGCATTAAACACTACAGTAAAGTAGGCAAATAGGGCTGCCTGTAAGTCAGGCAACTCGTCCCTCTAGTGAGTATGCTCTTCCTCCCTCCTTCCCTGCCTGCCCAAGACCCCAGGAGCTTTCCGTGCAGGTTTTGAGCCCTAAAAGCCCTGACCTAGATCTTCGCACATCCTGACAGATTTCAGGAACCAGATGGGGAAATTTGTTCTGCCTTTTCCCTATTTCTAAAAACCCTGTGGCAATAGGTACCACAGCTGAGCTAACTCGGTTTGGCAGCAGTGCCTCTGTGGACCATTAGGTGGCAATATAGGTCCAAAATCCGGATTGGAGGGGCTGCTGGGGTTAGGAATCAGGTGGCCGACAGAGGGCAGCCTCCCACAGCCCTGGCACCGGGGAGACACAGGCTGGGGGTCCTTGGGAAAGGAGGAAGAGGGAACATGGCTGGGAAGAGGACTTGCGGTGTAGTTACGGGGAGGGTGGGCAGGCTGCCGGGGCCTTGTCTCAAAGAAAAGTTCTGTCTCTCTCCAACTTTGGAATACTAGTGATGATGGTGAAAGCCTGGCATTTTCTGGTGTTTGAAACGTACACGTTTTCATTTCGATAGTTTCCCTGTGAATTAAGTAGGAAGGTAAGCAAGACGGATGGTATTTTTATCGTTGTTTTATAAATGAGGAAAACAAAGCTGAGGGGCAGGGCCACCCAAGGTCATTCAAGCATGCTGTGTAGATCGTGAGGGAAAGGGCAATGGGACAACTCTTGAAACCCCCCTGGCAAGAAGGGATAGAGAAAGGGGGAGCTGTGCGACTCAGAGCGCCTTCTTTGCTCTCAGTCCGCCACCCTGGGAGAGCGGGAAGGCATCAGCAGTGAGGGAACCGGCGCTGGGGAAAGCAGAAAGGTGTGCAAACAGAGTTGGCGGCAGGAAATGAGCGAGTCTGCCGCTTGGCTGTGGGGAGATAAGTAATCTCGGGTCTCTCACCTCCCAGGCTGGGAGCTGACGTTGCAGGCGTACTGACACCGTGTTTCCCGGTAACCAAGGGGTTTGGCAGGGTGAGAGGCGCCCTGGATGTTTGGGCAGGGAAGGAGGGCCTGCTGGGCAAGAAGGAGGGTGGGGAGAGCATTGCCAGGCAAGGGCTGGGGGATTCTTGGGTACTGCATAATTGCTGGGGGGGGGGGGGGGGGGGCGGGACAGAAAGAAGGCCTCCCTGGTCAGCGGGATAATCTCCTTGCCTGGGCAGTTGCTACCTGTTTGCATTAACTGAGGCAATGCATGTGTATTATTTTATTGACTCTTAACCTGCATTAGCTCACAACCACCTCTTTCATCAAGCCTTTCCAACAGGGAGGCAACTGAGCGTGGCAGTGAGCTACGTGGCAGTGAGCTACGTGGCAGTGAGCTACGTGGCAGAGATAACTGGGCTCAAATCCTGCCTTTGTCAACAGCTTGATGATCTTGGACAAGCTACTTAATCTTGTAAAATATCAGTAGTCATGCCTACTTGGTCAGGTTGTTTAATTAAACTTGGAATAAGACAATGTACAGAAAGCAACGTTCGGTCCCTTCTGCCCTTCCTCTGTCCACCCACTGCAGTTTATCTGTCTCCTAAGCAGATGTACACTTTCTTCACCCTCATCTGGTACTTCAAATTGACAGGCGCTTTTGAACACTCACAGACCAGGCAATGCGTGGGCTCTGGGGATCTGGTGGGTTCAGCCCTGGCCTGTAGCAGCTGGAGTCCAGCTGCATGAAGTCCCAGTCAGCGATGCTAGGAAGGGCACACATCTGTGCCGTGTGCAGTCTTGCCTTCGCCTGCTCAGAGACTGCTGCTCCTTGAAGGAAGGGTCAGATACACCTTTTGGACCTCTTCAGCTGTAGTGACTGTATTGCCGGAATTAAAATTCAGGACAAGTATGAATATTCTTATGGGGGAAATGGAACAAAATATTTGAAGACTGTGCTGAGTTGGAAAATCAGGAATAAGTTTGCTATTCCACAGCAGATAGAACAATTCTTGGACACGATGGTCACACAAAGATTTGTTATATGACTGTATTAATAAATGAATGCTTAAGCTGCTGTGATTTTGGTGATCTCCAAAAGTCTCCCAAGTTCCCTAAGGTCTCAGCATGAGTTCCTAGCATTAATGTGACTGAGGGTTTAGACAGGTGAATGGGGTCCAGGTTAAAAATAAATGCATGTTGCTCAGGAGGAGACCCACATTAGCGCATTTGACCAGGTTGAAAGATCAGCAAGTATCACCTTACAGAGAGAGAGGGAGCTCCCAGAGACCAGTGTCTCCATGGAGCAAGAGGGGATTGGGGAGGGCTAGACTTGCTGGAGTGGGGTGACATGAAGGAAGACCTTGCGCCGCCCAGGGAAAGGAAAAGTGTGTACTGGAAAAGATGGGGTCCCAGAGGGTAGCTGTGAAGCTTGCAGAAGGGCCTCTTACACAAGACTAGCCTCTGCCCAGTTTTGCCCTCAGTCTTCTGGAACAACCTCGGGCAGGGAGACATAGGAACACTCCCTGACCCGCTGCCCCTGCACAACTGCTAAATAGGTTAAATGACTTTCCCAAGGACACACAGCTGTTTGGTGGCTGATGTGGGACTTGGAGCCAAGTGTCGGTGCCCATGGCAAACCTCCAACCTCAGTCTACAAGAACACCAGCCACAAAGCAGGACTGTTAGGGCCAGCCAGGACCGGGAGTGGAGGCGTCTCGCCTGCCTGTGTCCTCACAGTGGCCAAGGCGGTGGAGGGCGATGTTTTGACACCTTTCCACCCCACTCCTCCTCCTGCCCATGTCTGTCAGCAGTGCTGGCTCTGGACTGATGCTGTTCCAGGACAAGCAGTAGGGAGGGATGCCCACAAAGACGGGACTCCAAGCAAGGACAGAATCTAATCCCACTAACTTCCTCTAGTAGTTAACCCAGAGCATCAGGAGGTCCTTGTGTCTACCTTAAACACTTCTTCTTTTGTTCTAGTCCAACAGTTCTCCTGGTCTTCCACCTTGAAACCTTCCACTTTCTTGGCTCTGTACTGCTAAGTGGACTCCATCTCATCTCTCAGTCTCTCCCATTAAGCCTGCTGGACGCAGCTGGGTGCTTTCCCGTCCCGCTCTCCATCTCTCCACAGGGTCAGGCTGCCCCTTTTTCCCTCACTCAGCTCTCACTGCCCTGGCACCAGAAGAAGCCTTTGCCGACCGAGACTCGGGAACTGCTTCTGCCTTTGCCTTCCTCCACTCAGCTTGGGGCCTCCATTCCCACGCTGGGTACTGATGCAGTTTTGCTTCGTAGTCTTTCAGCACAGAACACAGAGCAGGCGCTTAATAACACTTCGTGACTTCATAGCAGAAATGAGAGCAAGTTTTTGGTTCAAAAGAAGTGGCTGCTTGAAAGGACTGCCACTGGCCCCTGGGACAGAGTGAGGGCCTTCAGGAATGCCGTCCTGGAAGGGACCTGATGAGCAGAGACCTCCTGACAAACCCAGAAAATGCCTGGAGACTCTCTGAGAAGATCACTGAATTATTGACACCACCAACTCCATTTCCATTTTAAATTTTATTACATCAAAGAAAAAACCCCAAACCCTCCATAAAACCAACCAACCAACCAACCCTCGGGAACCTAAACCAACTCAAAGACAATTATTATCCAGGTATAACCAACTCCCTGCTCCTCCAAACAACCTTACATTAAAAAAAGTCCAAAAGAAATAGAAATGCCAGCTTCAAAAATATTTCTCCAAAAAGTAAGGCATCCACTTAGAAAAAAATACTTGAAGGAGGGAAGGTGGTTGGAGGAATGAGAAGAAGAAATAAGAGGATGGTCCCCTGACCCTCCAGGGGCCAGCCCCAGCCCGCCTGGAGTCCCCTCAGAAGGGACCATAACTCAACCCAAACCTGGCATCTCACCAATACAGGGTGAGGCAGGCCGGGCAGGAAGCTGGGATCCTGGAGCAGGCCAGAGGGGCTCCTGGGTATTCCAGTTTAAGCACATGGTATGGGGAGTTACACAAAGCAGGTGGCTCCGTTTGGGATAAAAGGATCTAGTCCTTAGCACAGCAGGTGTGGCAGGAAGGCTCAAGGCCCAGGGCAAACACTACCTCTTTCCTTTGGAGCACAGGGAAAGGCATCCTTGGCCAGAGTCCTCATTCTACGGACAACAGGCTTCTCCGAGGGCCTCCAAAGTGGGCACCTGCCACCACTGCCTTCTCACCCCGCCCTGGAGGCTGTCCAAAGGCAGGACAGTGGCGGGAGGACAGAGGGGGAGGGGTTATTAGAATTGGGGGAGGAGGGAGGAAGTGGCCTTCTTCCCAAATGGCCCCTCTGGGCAATGGGCGCGCACCCTCTCTCTGGGGAAAACTTTTCATACCAGGTCTGCCCTGAAGGTTAGAAATAAGGGAGTATTTTTAGGTCCAGTTCTTGGATGGGAGGTGACTTAAGGCAGATTTGGCTCAGGTTTCAGGCCTGAAGGGCTTGGGGAGCCTTCACACCCAGTCCTAGGTCCCAGGAGCCAAGGTCCAAAGAGGGGAGGGAAAGGGCATGATGGGGGGGAGGGGGGCAGGCAGTGCTGGCTGAGTGGTATGTGCTGGGAGCATAGCTGCAAGGTGACAGGGTGAGACTGTTCCTCCCCAGGCGGGTGGGGAGGGAGAAGGAGCTGAATTGCTTTGTCATTAGGAGAGGACTTTCTGGCTTCAGAAAGCTTTGGCACCCAGTTGGGGGCAGGATGCAGGGGTCAGGGGCAAGGCTGGGTTTCTGCAATCTGAGCCTTTCCCAATCTGTTCCATGGGCCTGGCTGGGGGTCAGGTGAGGGGCAGTTCCCCGGTTCCTTGGTCCTTAGCCCAGTGGGGGATGGGAGATGGGATGTGGGTGGGGATGGTATCCTGAGGAACTTACTCTGGACAGAAAGCCCAGGCTGCAATGCATGGAGGTGTGGGGGGAAGGGCAGAGGGAAGCATCGCCTCTGATTTCTTGGGTCCCTAGTGAAGGGAGGGGATACAGGTCTCTCCAGCTGACTTTTAATGGTGACAGATTTATTTGCTTGGGTCTGTCCCTTCTCAGCCTACTCACTGTTGCTTGTTGCTGCCACTTCTCTCAGAGCTGAGTCCTTGGGTTCAGGAATGGGAAGAGAAAGCAGTCCTGAACTCAGGCTCCTGAGGAAGCAACAGGGTGAGGGCTGGAGAGAGGGCCCTGGAGGGTGCTCCAGCAGCTCCACTGTCCTCTCACAGCTCGGCCTGAGCGTGGGCAGCCCTGCCTTTGGGCCTGGGCCCTGGGGTGAAGGGCTGGTTCTTTGGGTACAAATGTCAGTGTCTTTGTTTATCATTTCTCACCACCCACCCCCGGGTCCTGTCCCTGCTTAACAGAAGAAGCAGAGGGGTGTGTGTTGGGGGGACACAGGCAGGGCAGGAGGACAGAAAGGGGGTAAAAGAGGGAGGAGGCAACTGAGAGGAGATGGTGGTCCTCAGGGCTGGGCTGTTCCACTAGTCCTTGTCCTTGGAGGCAATGGGCTGCCACTGCTGCTCTGTGTCCTCATTTGTCACCTCTGTCCCTGAGCTACCCCCCACATCGGGGTACACAACCATACACATCTTCTGGCTCACCAGGGTTAGCAACACTGTGGGAAGAGATCACACAAAAACCAGGTCAGTGCCGAGTGGCCCACCATGCTCTTCCCTGCTCTCCTTTCCTGGGTTTTGCCTCCGCAGAGCCATCACTGTCTTCAGGAGATTCCCCCTCCAGGAGATGCCCCCACCTGCCTCCTGTGTCTCTGGGCAGCCTGTTTGCCGGCTGCCCCGTGCTCATCAAGGCCCCAGTTTTCTACTGTCCCCAGGCCCACCGATCACCAATTTCAGGGCCTCCACCTGCCTCCACCAAGCCCAGGGCAGCTCCTGCAGGATAGCTATCAAGATGCTTATTCCTGCAGGCCCAAAGTCTGTGTGGAAACATCAGCTGCTCTCTCCTCAGAGGTGCCTGGGGAGGCACCTGCCCTTCCCTGCCCCAGCTCCTTCACCAGAGCTCTGTGGCCCAGCCTAGCTCTTCTGATTCTGGTGGGCTTCTCCTGCCAGACTACTGACCACTCCACCCAGACCAGGAGGCCCTTAGGCACCCAGAGCCTTCAACAACTCACTGATGAAGTTATCGAAACACTTGGGCTTGTGTTGCCAGTAAACACCGAGGAAATAGACGGGCACTCCTGTCAACATGATAGCCAGGCCAGTGCCACACACCACAGGCTCCGACCACAGGCTGAAGATGAGCAGAAAGGCCCAGAACAGCAAGTAGATGATGGGGAACAGCAGGTTTATCTGTGGAGCAAAGGCATTGTTAGCTGGGTGGACCCTACTGACCCAGGCTTAGGGCACCCTCCCCCTTCTTCACCCTCAGGGAGTACCTCTGAGTGCAAAGGCTGAGCTTTGCTCAGCTCTAAGGCTCCCACTCCCTGAACCTTGGGCAAGTACTGTGTCAACAAATGTTGGTAAACTTAGACCGGGGGACAAGGACTGGGGAACCTAAGGAGGGAATGATCCTCACCACCCACCCTCTCCCTCCTGGGTGGGATCAAACAAAGCCTTGTCATCCATGCCATGTGCCTATGGCAGCCAGAGCAGCCCATGGGGGCTTGCTGGCACATTGGTGTATACCTGCTGTGGTCGTAGGGTGAAGGAGAGGTGGAGAAACGAGTGAGAGGCAAGCAGGAAACCAGCAGGTTAGTCAGGCCCCTTGCCCCTCGCCCACTTCTAGGCAGAGCCCTCATCTGGGCACAAGGCACATGGCCATCCCTCTCACCAGGATCAGTCCCTACGTATTTCTCTCAAGCAATTTGAGAAGAGAAATCTGCCAACACCCAAGAAATCAGGAAAGTTAGCACAATATAAGGCAGTCTAGACCCTTGACTTTGTTCAGAAAGAAGCATCTTTCTGGGCTTCATCCCTTCTTGTTAACCACTGGTGGGAGTTCCCAGCAGAGTGCTAGCCTCTAGATTCAACTCCTTGTCCTCTCTTCTCAGGTGTATGCATGTGGGCAGATGGGCTTCTTCTACTCCTCTTCCCTATTAGCAGGCTTTCTAGGAGTGGTAGGAAAGTGAGGGGAAACTAGAGATTTGGAGAGCCCTTGGTTTCTCAGCTGGAAGAATCTTCTAGAAGCATCTGGGGTCCCTCTGTTTGCGATACAGAATTGTTCAAATATTTCAGGGCCATACTCTATTCTTCTGATTTGCAGGAAAATCTGGAGCACTCTTGCATATTTTGTTCTGAGTAGTCCTGTAAAACCTATCACAAAGTTATTTCTTGTAACGACCAATAGGTTCACTGGGTTGCTATGTACAGGGTCAAAAGTAGTTTCAAAAGGAAGGCTCACTCATGGATTGCTGGAGTGGACTGGGAGGCTTCAAAGAAGAGGAGGTGCTTGAAGGTTATGTGGAAAATGGTTAGAATTTGGACAGGCAGATGGGAGGAGGAAACTCATTCTGGGACAGAAGCACAGAACAAGTGGATTCAGCTATATGGAGGGACAAGGAAGAGACTGGCCAGACAAGAGGGTCCAGGGAAACGCTGAAGAGATAAGAGAACCCTGGCTATCAGCTGCAGTTTAAGACAGAGTCGTAGGAAACAAAGAAATAACGCAATGAAAGTATCATTTAATCTAACTTATCTTCCCAGCTGCAGTTTGCTCTGGTCCTATCCCCAGCAGAGGATGGGACTAAATGGCTGCCCCATTCCCACAGGGCTCTTGCTTCCCAAGGGTCTGTTACCATCATACAGGGGATTGGTAGGTCAGCAGCTGAGAACAAGGTGATTGAAAAATCTGCGATGCGGCTGGAACCAGTAGGTGGGGGACCCCCAGGGGGAGGTTTCCGCACCTTGATGGGGCGGGGGATGTCAGGCTTCTTCCAGCGAAGAACTATCTGTCCAGCAACTGTGACTCCGTAGAAGAGGTAGTTGATGAAGCCCACGTAGTTGATGAGTGTGTATATGTCGCTGGTGACCAGCATCAGCAGGGTGGAGATGCACTGGGGGAATGGGAGAAGCGCGTCCTCAGTGATCGGAAGGACAGTTGGAGACCGGAGTTGTTTACAGGTCAGGGACTGTGTGTGTGCTTCAGGCAGATGGTGCCATTTCATAAAGAATGTCTCAAAATGGAAACCGTTTGAACACCCCTAGAAACCCAGGCCATCACCAACACCTTCACTGCCTGGAAGTTCCTTCCTATGGCAGGGGTGATAAAATATTTAATCACTGGTGTGGCACGGTGACTAGCCAGTCAGAACAGATTTTGGCTGTAGATAACTAGACTGGTCACACTGGTGGCCCCTGACTCCATGTCCTCCATGGTCTCGTTTATGGTGTATTTCTTCCTTGGTTGTAGCTCAAATTAATTGCATTTTATCATTTTAGGGAGGATTGTTAACTGCTGACTAAGACTTTATCTTGCCCTCATCCTCTTCTGTCTGAGTCATTTGTTTTTCTCCCTTCTTTTTTAAAATATCATAAAGACTTATTTACTAGGTGCCGGACTCCATTCCTCACATTCTACAAATATTAACTTGTTTAAGCCTCATAACATCCCTGTGATGTTTTCTCAGTAGAATACACTTTTCAACTTCAAAATCATTTCAGTGGCTCCCACGGAACAATGTTCTTCCCTTTGGCTAATCCACGAAGGCCAATAGAAGGCTCCATTTTCCTGTGAGATCTCATGGGGAAAATAACTGAGAACATTTTAACGAAGGCATGAGCCAGATTCTCACTGTACTTGCCCTGTAGTCACAGTGCTGCCCCAATGGCTCAAACTGAAAACAGCCTGTGGCCGCTGGGAGTATTGTGTTTTCTCTAATCACCTTTCACAACAAACCAATCATGATGACCTCCTCCCTGTATCTGAACATGCTGAAATTTCCCCCAATGCTGTACAACAAATGCCCTTGACCTTCTGAGGCCTCTCCTATCCTGCTGTAACTGTGTCTCTCTGGTAGACGAAGTAATTTTCAATGTTTTATTCAGGATCCAGAAGGAAAAAAAAAAAGAGGGGGCTCAGTGGGACAGTGCTTTGTTCCTTCTTTTTTGCTCTCTCTAAATGACTCTATTCTGGGGTCATTTTACTCCCAACCCCCCTCCACCCCACCCCAAGTTTCCCCTTCTCCATTTCCAGTGTGCCAGTCTTCCTTTATGATTTTTCTTATTTGGTGTACCCTTAACACCGAATTTGTTTTAGTGACATTTCCCACTGGCAGAAAATCCTGGGGCAAGAAGACTGACGGGTGTGCGCTGCTGGGAGCAGAGGCCCAAAGGGCAACCCTGGGGGCAACAGGTGCAGCGTAGAGTCAAGAAAAGAGAAGTTTCTTTGTGAGGTTATAAAATCTTGAGGAAGTCAAGTCATTCTGCTCCAGAGGATGGGAGCACGGAAATGACCTGGCCTGAGAGCCTTAAGGTCTTTCAGGGCTCAGTTTCTTGCCTTGCTCTTTCTCTTCATATTAGTGAAGCCTATGTAGACCACCTGTCAGATTCTCTAAGTCTGGTGAGACCAAGGAGCAGAAGAAGGGTGACAGGGGTGTCTGTGGGAAAGGGTGAACTCCCAGCTCAGAGAAAGCAGGAGAGGGAGGGCGTGTGTAGGACCAGTAGAAGGAGGGGCCCTTACTGTGAAGAGCAAGGCTGGGATGGGGGTGCAGCGCTTCACATGGATCATGGCCAACACGCTGGGAAGGTGGCCCTCCCTGGCTCCAGCAAAGAACAGCCTGGCAGGGAGAAAAGCAGGTCAGCCTGGGGTGGCCCCTGGACTACCCATGAAAGCTCCCTCCCCAGCCCAGGCTCCCTCATCCATGCCCTGCTTCTGCCCACACAGGGGAGTCAACCCTTGGACCAGGTACCCACTTTCTCGTGCACGCCTTCCAGCCCACTAGTCACAGAACCCACAATCACAAATGCAGATGCAGGCAAACCAGAAGCAGCTGGTGGGTACATGGATGGACCCTGGGTGTGTGGAAACCCTGAGTGTGACCTTGGTGGTTTGGGGTCACTGATGATTGTGCTGTCACTCTGTGGTTCTCTCTTAATGCCAGGAGTGCTGCTGCGGGGGCAGCTTCTCTCCTTTGCCTAAGGCCTTAATCCCATAAAAAAAGTGCCTTCCACATCCTCAGGGGATACAAGGGGATTGAACTGTACAAGGAAAGCCTTAAAAGCATCATGTCCTAGTCAGAAAGCAGCTGTCTCTGGGGGTGGGAAGGGCGCGGTGGAGCAGAGACATGTGAGTACTTGCGGGATGGGTGCAGAGGTCCTCTATCTAGTTGTGGTTCATACGCCTGTCTACAATCGTGAAACTCATCAGTCTGAACACTTATGATCTGTGTATTTTATTGTATGCAAATTGTACCTAAAAATTTTATATCTTTAAGCTACTTATTCTATTTCCAAAAAGCCATCAAAAGAAATGAATAGAGAATTAATGAAATGTGTATAGAGAGAGATATTCTGGTAATTAAAAAATGGGAAATATCATAAGTGTCTAAAAATAGGAGATTGATAACATAAATTATGGTATACCCATAAAATGGAATATAATACAGTCTAAATAACGTTCTAGAAAAAAATCGTTACATGAGAATATATTCACAGTATAATGGTAAATGAAAAGAGCAACATAGAAAATTGATGATTCCATACAATATAATTCCAACTCACTTAAAAATGATTTCCCTGGCTGGGAGGCTCAGTTGGTTGGGGTATCATCCTGTGCACTAGAAAGCTACAGCTTCAGTCCCTTCTCATGGTGCATTCAGGAGACAACTGATCAGTGTTTCTCTCTCTCCCTTCCTCTCTCTCTAAGATCAGTGAATGTATCCTTGGGTGAGGATTAAAAAAATTATTCATGGGGCATGTAAAAACATATATTAAAATACCAACGGATTATTCCTGGGTAGTGGGATTATGAGTAATTTAATTTTTTCCCTTTAGACATTATAGAAAAAAGTTGAAAATTCTAAAATAGACAAAGAATTTGCAATCAGAATAAAAATTATCTTTTTAAATTTTGAAACGATTAAACTTTTTATTCTGAGATTATCATATATTCACATGCAGTTGTAAGAAACAATACAGAGCAATGCTATGTATTCTTTACCCAGTTTCTCCATTGGCAGCATAACTACAAAACTACAGTACAATATTATGGCCAGGATGTTAATGCTTAAGAGTGAATTTTAAAACATTTTCTGTTCTTTTTCTTGTATATTTGTTTAATGACATTTTCTTTTTCTAAAAAATTTTGTTTATTTATTGTTAGAGAGAGGAAGGGAGGGAGAAAGAGAGGGAGAGAAACATCAATGTGTCATTGCCTCTCCAGTGGCCCCCTACTGGAGACCTGTCCTGCACCCAGGCATGTGCCCTGGACTGGGAATCAAACCAGTGACTCTTTGGTTCTCAGGCCAGTGCTCAATCCACTGAGCCACACCAGGCAGGGCTAAAAGTGATTTTTTTAAAAAAGAAATTATAACATAAAAAGCAGGCCTTCTTCCCCTTTCCTCTCCTGAGAGAAGACATTACTACAAACTGTTAGGCGTCATTTACATATTAGTGTGAATTATACCACTTCTTTTTTCTAGAATTTTGTAGGGAAAGGAGTGCCTCAGAGGTGAGAAGCAGGGGATGGTGTGATGAAGACAGAAAGGCACAGAACTGGCGTACTGGGTGTTCCGAAGAGAACGGTCATTTACTTTGTAACTTGTATATGGGGGAGAGTGAAGCTAAAAGCAGTAGCTCATCGGAAGTGTGGGGGTCGATTATGGTCCCGAGTGCCCAAACGCATCACCATCAGCTGCCATCACCAAATCCCTAGGCTAGTGTCCTTAGTTTCATGCAGCCACATGGCACTGGCCTCCACAGTGCAGCCTCATGCACCCAGCTGATACCCAAGTGTCCTGTCGGCCTCATCATGCACATGGCCAGGGTCCCGCATTCACAACCCTCCTCCACAGGAAGCCGGGACCAAGTGGAGTTGTCCAGGTCCAACAGCATTTGTAAGTGTCAAGTTCACAAGAGACAATCCTTGCCCAGCTGGCTGACAACAGAGGAGACAATGACAGTAAGCATGACACACACCCACACACACTCCTACTCCTCAGGAAGGATCGTCTTCTCCATACCCCCAAAACACAAAACACAAAAGTGTAAGAGAAAGAGAGAAGGAGGCAAGGAAGAGGAAGTAAGAAAGAAAGGAACTGGAAGATGAGCAGAGGAGGCCTGGTGGGTGAGCCGCACCTCTGAATCGGAGGCTGAGTACACCAGGCCGCAGCTCCTGCATGCACACATCGCTATACCACATGCACGCAGACCACTCCTTGGCCTGCCTGAGGGACAAACCCCACTCAATAGTGACTGTAGCCAGTCACTCTCTTCCAACAGATCCCAGAGAGCCTCATGGGTCATTGCTCTTCCACTGCTCACCCACGGCTGGGGCCTCCAGGTGGCCACTGCTCCTGTGTAACACGCACACGAGGTTGCTGTGGATGTGTCATGGGGTCCCGGAGAACAAGGGACACCCACATTCCCTCTTTCCTGCCCTGGGTCCTGAAAACATGGCACTCTTTTGTCATTTTATGGGAACTCCTCCCTGATGTGATGGGTGGCTTTACAAGTAGCTGAATTCAGGGACATACTCCTTTGCTGTATCTTGTCAGTAGGACTGTGCCTTGGGTACTGAGGGGCTTTCTGAGAACCCTGGGAAGACTTCTAGAACCACACTGATAGAAATCATCCATCATCTGCTGTTCTTACAGCCCATTCTGGAGACAGCAAGAAGGGGTACCAAGGAGGTAGGTCCTGGATGTGTGGAGGCAGGAGATGGGGACTCCTGGGCTCCCTTGAGCTTCTGGCTTCCCTGAGAGGGATGAGGGACATGGCTTTAGGCAAATGCTTTCCTTTTGCTCTTCCCCAGCCCCCTCATTTCACACGAGTGAGTCCACCTGGGTCTCCAGGATGGTTACACAAAGACCTCCCACAGCTGCCTGTTTGTGGAGCAGAGAGGAGCCAGCACCTGCAGGGCGCCCAGAGATGATCCTGTCCCACCTGCAGTCTGGTCCCAGAACTCCCCCGGGAGGCCAGCCCAGAGGCCCCAGGCACAGGTCCCCCCCAATCCCTTTCAGAGTGGGGTTCCTTTCTAGCCAGCACAGCCCATTTCTAGGAGAACGGAAAAGGAGCTCTGGAGTTGCAGCTGAGACAGTCCTGCCACCAGACACAGCCCCTGACCTGGGACTGCTTCAGCTTCCTGCTCCAACTGAAATGAGCTGGGATGGGGCTTTTCACCACTTCATGTGAAGGCACATACATCAGAGGTAACCACGTGAGCAGCATACACCTCTCTGCATCTACACTGATACATGCGTGCCCTCAGGTGAGCAATCGCCCCCTTCAAGGCCACTGCCCAGGTGTCCACACAGGCCCCGCTGACAGAGACAAGCCCCCACATATACACAGAGCTATATACACAGCAGAGTGGCCCTTGGCCCAGAAAGGACCCAGACAGCACTCACCGGGAGGAGGTGAAGAGAGACCCATTGACTCCTCCAAATGTGGACAGGGCAACAGAAATAGGCATGATCCAGGCCATGACCCCTAGGAGCTTCTCTCCGAAAGTCTGTGAGAGAAAACAAGGAGTAAGTGGAAAAGGAGAGGCTACAACCCTGCACCTGTCCATCACTGCTAAGAGTGCTCCCTCCCAGGTCCATCCTTCCTAAGTCTCTGGCTTCTCCTGAGAGGAGGTGTGATGAATGGCTATGATCTATCTGGCTCCCGTCCCACACCAACACCTCCAACAGCTGAGGGAGACAGTGTGTGATAAGAATACTAATACTGCTAATAATGAACTAACATTTGTTATCCTTGATTTACAGATGAAGAAACTGCGGCACAAAGCAATTCAGTGGATGGCCTAAGATCACACATCTAGGAAGTGGCAGGGCTAGGACTGGAGACGAGCCACGTGAGCCCAGGCCTCGCTACACGATACACCATGAGACAGGCAGGTTGGGGCTCCCCTCTCGGCGCAGCATTCAGGAACTGTAAGACCTTGAGCAAACTTCTTAATTTTTGAGCCTCAGAATTAGAGAGGAATTGTAATTCATAGAGTGAGAATTTCTAAATTCAGAGAAACAAATGCTATTGAGGGAAAATGGTAAGAGGCTATTATGTAGGCTGAGAAAGAAAAGGTGGTGATGCCATAGACTAGTGTTGGTGTATAAGATGTCAGGGAACCTGCCTTTCTATATTCTCTGGGCCAAGTACACACTTGATTTATAGCATATTATGGGGACGGGTTTAGAGTAGCCGTCCTTCTGGGGAAGCCTGTGGACCAGGCTGCTCTGGGACATGGGAGGGCCTCTTTCTTTAGTCTTCAATAAGGCAAGTGAAGATACCGTTTGACAGGGTGAGGTTAAGGACCAGGGGAGGCCAGGTGAGGGAGTGACGTGGATCCCAGATCTTTCCTGCATATCAAGGACCCCAGAGCCTCGGTCCTGCAGGATCTCTTTCCCTAAAAAGCACAACCCACTCCTACTTCCTCGTCATTTATGACACACACTCTTCCCTAATGAGGGAAGGAGTCAGGCTGCTTGATTTTTCGAGGTGGAAATGGAGCGGGAGAGAAGCAGCATGTCTTGTGCAAGATGGCATCTTTCTGGGGAGAAGCCTGTCTCCTTTCTACAGTCATTGCATTCAGAGTTTAAAGTGCCCTAGATAAGAAGTTGGCAAACTTTTTCCGTAAACAGTCAGAGAGTAAACATTTCGGCTGTGCAGGCCATACAGTTTCTGTGGCAATTACTCAGTTCTGCTGTTGTGGTTGTTCTAGGTACGACGTGGCCATCAGCTTGCTCCTGAGCACTTGAAGATGTGGTTTCCGTCCTAAGGACTTGGGATAACTTCCAATTTCACAAATCCATGGAACAGAGGAAAGCAAGGGTAGCTGAGTAGGCAAGTCTATGCCAACCTGCCTAGTTTGAGGGGCTGTGAGTTTGATTTCTTACCACAGCGACTGCATTTGATGCCAGCAGCTCCTGGGGGGACATTGCAGTGACATAAGCGACATTGGCAAAGACATACACAAATGTGACCAGTGGGATGGAGATGAAGATGGCTCTGGGAAGGTTCCTGTAGAGGGAGAGGAGGTGAGAGGGGAAAGGCGTGGCACCTGGGACCACCTGCCTCACCATGGGGTCTGGGAAGTGCCTTCTGTTTTTCTGCATGAAGCTGACCTTCATTCCTTCTGTGATTTCCCCTCTCCCTGGAGGGGTGGGAGGAGGAATTTTTCTCAGTATGGGCAGGATAATTTAAAGGAATTATCTAGACAGCTTAGGCTGGACATATATTCCATAGCTACCGATCTCTTCTTCACCATCAGCTCCACAATGCGCCCTTTCCCCTGCCTCAAGACATAGAGACCACCTGTCCCCAAACGGGAAGATGCCTGAAAACATTTCATTCTCTAAGGTGGTAGTGTTATCTCGGCACCGTTTTCAGCCTTTAACCTACTCTGGTAGTGTCTCCGGGTCAGCTTTCTTCTCCTAACAGAGTGAAGGGCAAGAGGTCTAAGTTCCTGGGTAATGAGCTGCTTTTTCAGGATGGATGGGTCACAATTAGAATCGGGGCTGGGAGGAGGAGAAATGGGCAGTGGACCCCTGGTTCCCCCTTGCCAGTAGCAGGTGCCTTGGCCTTTCTAGGAAGAGAGAAAGGGCTGGGCTATTTCAACTCACTTGTAGGGATCAACAAGTTCCTCAGTCACATAATTAAGAAAATTCCAGCCTCCATAGGCAAAGGAGCCCTGGAGGAAAGCCAGTGCAATGAGGCCGATGTTGGGTTCTTGGAAATTGTCAAATGCATTCTTTGGCTCCAGCCAGAAGTATTCTCCTGTGGACACAAGGGGCAGGAAGCTGCTCAGAGAGACCAGTCCGAGTCCTGGCTGCCCCTAGCCTGCCTGGTCTGGCTTCCACCACTCCCTGCGGCAATGATTCAATTCTTTGTCTCATCTCCAGTACACCCCATGCATTGGGGAAGGGGGACCAAAAGGAGCAGAGAAATACGACTCCGGGACCTCCCAGAACCTGGTAACCATTACTCCAATGGGGCTCAGGTTCAAAGCACAGTTCTGAATGTTCTTTCTTTTTTTAAAAAAGATATTATTTATTGTGGCTCAGTGGGTTGGGCGTCTTCCCGCAAATGGAAAGGTCACTGGTTTGATTCCTGGTCAGAGAAACAGGAAGCAAGGGAGAGAAACATCAACGTGCAAGAGAAACATCAATCTGTTGCCTCTCGCACGCCCCCAGCTGAGGACCTGGCCCATAACCCAGGCATGTGTCCTGACTGGGAATTGAACCAGTGGCCTTTCAGTTTGCAGACAATGCCCAACCCACTGAGCCAAACTAGTCAGGGATGAATGTTCTTTTTTTATAAGGCAAAGTTACTTGGAAGGAAAGGCCAGAGGAAGGCCACCAGGGACAGCAGGATAACCTGGGGGACTAGCAGGGTAAATTGGAACTGGCTTGCTGGGATTTGGAGATGCAGGATTAGGGCCCTTGTCAGTCTCCTCACCACTTTCCCTGATGTTTAAGTTTGTACACGTTCATAAAGAAAGCATCAAGAACAACAGACGCTCAAACATAAGCCTCCATAATGCTATATTAGTTTAAGCCTGTCTGCTCTCCTTGTCAACCTCCAAATGTTTCTTTCTGAGGTGTGTGTTTAGTCTCCCCTTTTATGGTGTAGATTCCCTGAGGACAGGGGTCCTTTAGCAAGGAGCTTTTAAATTTTCTTCCCAGCCCTTAGCATAGTGTCCTGCACACAGAGGTCTCTTGAGAAAGGTTGCTGACTGAGGTTGTAACGAGACACAGTGGAACTGCTCATACTTTACTTATTCATCTGTAACCAACATGGAGACAGCAATAAGGAGATTAGAGTGATCAGGAGAAAGCACTGGGGCCAGATTACAAAAGACTCTATTTTTGAAAACACAGCACAGTGATTTCCTTATGTCTAAATTCCTGAAAACAGTAAAACCTCCTAAAGAACTTAATCCATATGATTAAAATAATCATGGACATTTTATACAGCAGACTTTTAATTATGTTTCCTGGAGTAAAAATCCAGGCACCCCATTCTGCTTTCTGGGCTTGTGGGCGGGTGGGAGGTCTCCTGCTGGTCACCCGACTTTCTCTAGGAGGCAGTGACACTGGGCAGAGCCTTGTGGTGACACGGGTCCCAGGGAAACCAAATACAGACTTAGGCTTGGAAAGGACCAAATCTGGTGGGGAATGTGGGCAGGGGCCCAAGAAATGCAGAGCTCTCTCTTGTAGAGATTGCAGGTAATTTAAAAACACATAAAATCTCCTCTTCCATCCCCCATTTTAAGTATGGATGAGGTACAATGTAAGATGCAGGGAGCTTCCATGGGGTTGGGGCAAGAGGGCAATAGGACCCCAAGGACCCCAGAGATCTGGGGTCTTCAGAGCCCAGCATGGGAGGCCTGAATCTGCTAACAGGCAAGGTATGTTCTATTTCCTGTGAAAAATGGTTTCTCTTCTCCTTTGTCAAGCAAGTGAAGAAGAGAAGTCATTTAAGGCCAGAATTGGGAAATCTCAGGGTGTGTACATACCCAAAGACAGTATGAGGGGGTGTGTACATGCAAGGGATGGGACATTTGACAGGTTCCTATTGTTTCAATGACACTCACCTTTGCAGATCTGTACAACCCCCATGATGATAATCAGGGCCAGGGCCAGGAGCTTCCCAGCTGTGAAAATGTCTTGAACTCGGGTGGCCCACCGCACACTGGAGCAGTTGACCCATGTGAGGAGCACTGAAAGGAAAGACCCCCAAACAATACCCTCAGGGGCCATAAAGAGGCTGCAGGATGCTCTCTGAACAGGAGCAGAAAGCCTCTTTGATCCTGATGATGGAATTGTAGCAGATGCACCAAATATCCTGCAAGCTCAGCCCCAGTGTGTAGAAATTTTGGCTAGGTTAATGGGGATTACATGTCTCAAATCTGTGCTCAGAAGGTGCCATGGCCAGGGCTGGAAGCCAGAAGTAGGCATGGAAGTGTGGGTGCTAGCTTTGCGGGGGGGGGGATCAACAGCTGATCAGGGCAGCAGTGTGAACTTCGTTTTCAAGTCATTGTATATTCAAGGGGTGTCGTGAACAGCTGGTGGAATCCTGGTTCTCATATTCTTGAGCCTGGTTTAGGGGGCTACAGAGGTTCAGAAGAGTCTTTTGCTACTTAGGTTTATCAAGGTATAAACCTAAGTTTAAACCATAGAGAATAAAATTTATTTTTCTAAGTGTATGATTTGACAAATGTATTCAGCTGTCTAATCACTACCATACTTTCTATATGGAACATTTCCAATACTCTAAAAAGTTCTCTCATGTGGCCCTGGCTGGTGTAGCTCAGTGGATTGAGTGCGGGCTTGCGAACCATAGTATCGCGATTCGATTCCCAGTCAGGGCACATGCCTGGGTTGCAGGCCAGTTCCCAGTGGGGGACACATGAGAGGCAACCATACATTGATATTTCTCTCCCTATCTCCTTCCTTTCCCCTCTAAAAATAAATAAATACAATCTTAAAAAAAAAGTTCTCTCATGTGTTGTTTCTTTGAAATCAGTCCTCTTCCTCTGCTGGGATCCACTTTTTGTCCCTATCATTTTGCTATTTCCAGAATAGCACATAAATGGAGCATAGTATGTAGCCTTTTGAGTCTGGCTCCTTTCACCTAATGTGATGCTTTTGAGATTCATTCACATGTTGTGATATATATATATATATATATATATATATATATATAGTTCCTTTTTATTGTCAAGTACTACTCTGTTATATTAATACATCAGGTTGATTTTCCATTTGATAGCTGATGGACATTTGGGTTGCTCCCAATTTGGAGTTATTACAAATAAAGCAGCTATAAACACTTGCATAGAAGTATTTAAGTAGACTAGTAGTCTTTCAATGTGGTATTCATTTCCCTTCAGTAAATACTCAGGAGTGGGATCTGGGTTCTATGGTAAATGTATAAGGTCTGTCCTCGTACATGTAATATGAAAAAGATATCCAGCCACGTAATATGAAAAATAGAGCCCTGGCTGGTGTGGCTCAGTGGATTGGGTGCCAGCCTGCAAACCAAAAAAGTCGCTGTTTCGATTCTCAATCAGGGCACATACTTGAGTTGTGAGCCAGGTCCCCAGTTGGGGGTGTGCGAGAGGCAACTGATTGATATATCTCTCCCTCTCTTTCTTCCTCCCTTCCTCTCTCTAAAAGTGAATAAATAAAATCTTAAAAAAGAAAGAAAAATAGAGACATTTATTGAAGAAGACAGAAGACACAGCAAACATTGTACACAGAACAATGATGCCTAAGTCCCCTTCAAAGTAGCAACTTGAGACCTCACACAGTTCTTCCAACTGCCATCAGCTGCCCCATTGTATTTTCCTGAATCTCATCAACGGTCTGAAATCTCTTCCCTTTCAAAGGTGATTTTAGTTTTGGGAAAAACCAGAAATCACAGGGCACCAAATCTGAGCTGTAGGGGGGCTGAGTCATCTGTGTGATTTGATGTTTTTCCAAAAAAATTTGCACGAGATGTGATGCATGTGTGGGTGTGTTGTCATGATGAAGCTGCCAATCACCAGTTGCTCATAGCTGCGGCCTTCTGAATCATCCAGATTGTTTCCACAGAAGAATGTTCAAGCTCAATGTGAAATCTGATGCAGATTCATTGCTCTACTTGCTCAGTCATTTTGAATGCAGTGGCCACACAGTACACGTGCTCACTTGATAGCATCTACCACCCCCACAGACTAGTACAGTGAGGTTATCATTGTTCAGACATGCACATTCCTCGTCTGCCAGCTTACATGTTATGCAAACTGTTCTCAGTAGGTTCACAATGGCTGGACTTTTTCCAGACAGACCTTGTATACTAAACTTTGTAAGAAGCCACCCAACTGTTTTCTAAAGTGGCTGTATCATTTTGCATTCCCACCAGCAATGTGTGCAAGATCCCGTTGCTCTGCATCTTCGTCAGCATATACTACTGTCAGCTTTAAAAATCTGGCTATTCTAATAGGTGTGAAGTGGCATTTCAATGTAGTTTTGATTTGCATTTCCCTAGTGACTAATAATGTTGAACATGTTTCCCTGTGCTTATTTCCACCATCTCTATATCTTCTTGGGTGGCATGGGAGGCTTTTAGTCTGTTTCCTTTTCTAGGAGTCATGGGCTCTCAACAGAGATCCCAACAACGTGGGACCTCTAGGCCTGGAGGAGAGCTTAGAGGCTGAGCAGTAGGATAGAGGCACTTTCTGTTTTACCATCACATTCCCTAAGTAACCCATGGGAGCCCTGTGATACAGGAACAGGAGTCTCAACTTCCCGGTGGTTATGGAGTTCTTGAGAACAAAGGGAAAAGGTTAAAATCCTCTTGCTTCCCCTTCCCTTGAAACAGTGACCAAGATGCCCCTAGTTCTCCAAGGTTATAAGTCATATGTATAGAAGCATAAGACTCTTTCTTTCCCCTAACCAGGTCTCTGATTTCACTTAAACAGCTGATCAAGTTCTATCAATAGCTTACCCTGAAACCGTGCATTTACTTTCCAAATATATTCCAACCTTACTAGATTCTGAGAACATTTGGCAGGGCAAGGACCTGACATTATTCTTCTTCTGTAACCTTCCTCCCTACGGTGTCTCTGCCTGGCAACTCCTTCTCATCTTTCAAGACCCAGCTCAAATATCACCTGTCCTGTGAGTTGTTGTTATTCCACTTATTCCTGACAATGTGCCTGCCAGGCAAGCATATCAGCTGCCTTTCACAGACAAGGAACAAAGTTTGTCCCTTCTGTCTCCTATCAGACCACTTTGTTTATATCTAGTTTTGGCACTTATTTCTTTGTATTATAATGATCTGTTTCTTTTTCTCTGTCTTCTTGTAGAGCAGGAGGGTAGGGACTGTGACTTTTTCATGTTTTCAATCCCAAGGCATATCATTGGTGGCTTCAAACATTAGGTGCTCAGCAAATATTTGATACTTGAATAAAGAAGATGCCCCAATTCATTATCTGTCCAATCTCACCTCAGTCTACATATTTCACAATGCATACCAATCCCCTTACTCTCCAGGAAGCTCATCAAAAGGAGACATAATCCTCAATTGGTGTCACAGAGCCAAAAGAGCAAGAGGAAGAATGACTTCGAGAGTAGAAGCTCTTGACTCCTTGTGGAGAGGCTGTTAGCCAAGATTGTGTCATAAGAGGAGAATGATAACATGTTGTTAAAGGGAGGATTTTAAATGCCCGAACAGGAGAACATTTTGTAAATACTAGAATGTTCCAGATGGACTGAGATATCCTAATAAATACACATTTGGTTTATCTTACTCAATTCAATAAGGATCTCAGGATCATGTGCCTGGTAACAATCCAACCCAGATCACTCTAAACAACTAGGCTTCTCCCCAGGGCTCTGAAGCATGCCAGGGATGAGGCTGGGCCCCTGCGCCCCAGGAGTTCAGCAGACATAAGTAATAATGACTAAAAGTAAAGGAGATTGATTTAGGAAAGGAAGGAATATCAGAACACAAAACCCATGTGGCTCAGGGATAGGTAAGAATTATAGAACAAGGAGCAGAGAAGAAAAATTATCCTCCATCAAGGAGAGGAGGGAGAGGGCAGGGATGTGGCAAGAAAGTGCTTGGAGGGAAATGAGGACAGAGCAGGACAACCAAGGAGGAAGGGGAATGTGGCCACTTCCCTGTGAGCTAGGACAGAAAACACAAAATCATCTCTGTCAAGGCAGCCAGAAAGACTCTTTCGAAGAGTCAACTCTGTAGTATCCTGCAGGGATCAGAGATGTCTGAAGGGATATTTGTCAAATAAACTTGACGTATGTATCTTCTGTCTTTCCTGAGCTTGTCCCAACAACTTCACAAGAACCCAGTCCTTGACTAATATTTAACCTTTCCCCTTCACGGGGATCTTTCAGAAATAAAGAGAGAAATCCTGAGAATGAGGTGATGAGACGGGCTGCCTGACACTAATCTCCCTGGAATAATGGCTGCAGGCCTTGTGTGACCTTTTAACGGCAGTTAGGCAAGATTATAGCATGTGACTGAAGAAAAAAAGAAGGTACTTTCAGTCTCCTGGTAGCACAGGTCAGCTTCCCTCACAGCAGGATGAAACCTGAGTCTCCATCCGGAAGGAAAGGTCAGTGAGTGAAGGCAAAACTTGCCAGATGCTTGCCAAGCCTCTGCCCGGCTGCTATCCCGCACCCCTTTCTGTTGCTGACAGCTATGTTCCCTCTCTCTCCCCTGAATTTTGTATGCCTGAGATATAGTGATATCAGGAAAGCTGCATGAAGATGGGGACCAGTAGCCCCTGCAGCTTGCAATGTGAGGGTATCTATCTATCTATCCATCCATCTATGTATCTATCTATCCATACATACATATATGCAGTTGTCGTCTACAAAGTTCCTACACATGCTAGGCACTCTAGTAAGTAGGGGAGTTATAAATAAGACTCAATTGCCCACCCTTAGGAAGTTGACATCCTAACAGGGAAGATGGGTGAGCTAAAGGATGATCACAAACAATGTGGTGATGGTAGAGCTCTTCGTGGAAGCCAGCGGCGTCTTTTCTATAGCACGAGGAGGCCCTAGCAACAGGGAGAATTTTATAATTCTGGCCTAGCTGGACAAAATAATAAAAAGGCATACAACTCTGGTTCTTGTCCATTGTAATCTGGCTGTGGGGGTGGTTGCTGGTTCTCTAAGGGCCCCCATGGAAGCTCAGGCTTATCCATAT